ATCGAAACCGAAACACGAATCGAATCAAACCGCACCAAACGGTTTGGTTTTGCGGTTTTGAAACGGTTTCGGTTTCAAAACCGAACCGCGGCACACAAAATGGTTTGGTTTCGGTTTTGGGTTTTCAAAACCGCACCGAAACAGAAACCGAAACCGAAACCGCACTTTTTTATTTTTATTTAGTTCATTCAACTAGGTTATACTTATTATACATTTAGTTTTGCGGTTCTGGGTTTGCACCGAGTGGGTTTGCACTTTCAGTGACTGCTTCTACGCTGCCTCCTTGCATCTCCGCATCTGCCTTTGCGACCTGGTCACCTGAGTCCTGACTGCCTGCTTGCATCTGCTTCTGCCTGCCTGCCTGCGAGCGACTGTTTCTGCCTGCCTGTGAGCGACTGCTTCTGCTTCTGCTTCTGCAACTGCTTCTGCGGCTTGCTTTCATCTCTGCCTTGCCTCCAATCTTGGAGTCGACACACCCAGAGGTAAAAATTTCTCATCCTCTGTCTTCAATTTCATATATGTTGTAGATTAATTCGAATGTTAGGCAGGTTTGGGTTTGGCAAAAAATTACTAATCTACATGTTGAAGTCGACACACTCAGTGGAGTAATTATTAATCTAAGCAAGCAGTCTTCAATTTTGAAAAACTCAGGTTTGGGATATTAGTAATTAATTCGAATGTTGTTAGATAAATTCGAATGTTAGGCAGGTTTGTTCAAATGTCAGACTGTTATACTATTAGATTAATTCAAATGTTAGGCATGTTTGCTTTTGTTTGATATCACCCATACAACATTATTCTATGGTTTGTTTTATCATCCATATAACATTATTCTATGTCTTCACTGCACCATTCACTTATTTCTCATCCTCTGTCTTCAATTTCATATATGTTGTAGATTAATTCGAATGTTAGGCAGGTTTGGGTTTGGCAAAAAATTACTAATCTACATGTTGAAGTCGACACACTCAGTGGAGTAATTATTAATCTAAGCAAGCAATCTTCAATTTCGAAAAACTCAGGTTTGGGATATTAGTAATTAATTCGAATGTTGTTAGATTAATTCGAATGTTAGGCAGGTTTGTTCAAATGTCAGACTGTTATACTATTAGATTAATTCAAATGTTAGGCACGTTTGCTTTTGTTTGATATCACCCATACAACATTATTCTATGGTTTGTTTTATCATCCATATAACATTATTCTATGTCTTCACTGCACCATTCACTTATTTGTCAATATTTAAGTCTCTCTTTTATCATTATTAGTAAACTATCTTATCATTTTCAGCCCAACTTCAGCAGTCCGCATTTACTAATGAAATGATTGTTTGTTGACAATTTGACTAGAGTACCTCTAGAAAATATCTATGCATGGACCACTACTGTAATCCGTTCTCAACCGATGAACTTCAAATTATGGTGCGTATCACGTCATTTTGCCTTCCTCCCTATTTATTCAGCTATTACATATCCAATTGTATTGATTCCTACAGAACAATGTTTACTTTTCTCGGCAACCTCTTTACAATGTTTTACAATTTCTTTCCTGCTACATTATAATAGAAATGTGAAGTACAAAGTCAATTTAAAAACCTAATATCTATCTATTTTCTTAGTATAAAAACCTAATATCTATCTCTGTTCTTCTTTCGTATTTTATTTCAGTCAAGATATGAAGAATCCAGCAAGCACAGTGGGATTGGTTACTCTTTTACGGGGGACTCCCCTGAGAACCCGGAGGACGAGGCAATAGAAATTGACTCGGAAAATGAAATAGACGTTGAAGGTGACTCTGAAAATGACGGTGAAGAATCTGAGGCCGAAGATGAAAAAGTAAGTAACTCTGATTCAAGAAAACGTAGTTGGATTTGGGATCATTTTACAACATATTATGTGACGAAAAAACAGTCGAAAATCAATGAAAAGGGAGAGAAATATTTGGCCGAAGTAAAACTTAGGAGAGCTAAATGTAATTATTGCCCAAAACAGAGCAGTGTAGGTGATTATGCAGCTGAACCAAGAGTTAATGGCACCACAAGCATGAGACACCACATTGAAAGATATTGTAAATTTTACCAAGGGAATAGAAGTAAAAAGCAAAAAGTTTTGGTTGGGGATAAAAGTAAAGGCAACAATCTGGTTGCTGTTGGATTTTCACAAGAGAGTGTGTTAGAAGCATGTGTCAAGATGGTAGTCATAGATGAGATGTCATTTAGTACAGTTGATAAGATGGGGTTTCGGCTTTTTTGTGCTGTTGGTATTCCATTGTTTAAAGTGCCTTCTAGAAGAACTCTTGTGAGAACTTTTCTCAACATGTCTCATGAATCAAAAGTTTATTTGAAGAAAACCTTAAGTGCCCATAGAATTTGTCTCACTACCGACACTTGGACAAGCACACAAAACACCAATTATATGGTTCTTACTTCACATTTTATTGATCATGAATGGAATATGCATAAGAGGATCATAAACTTTTGTGTTATTCCTAACCACTATGGAACCACAATTGCAAAGTTAATTGAAAGTTGCTTGTTGGAATGGGGGATAGACAAAGTTATGACAATCACAGTGGACAATGCTTCCGCCAATAAAGTTGCTTTAGATCAACTTATGACGAAAATGAATAGGTGGGAAAATTCACAAGCTATTCTAGGTGGCAAGTATTTACATGTGAGATGCATCGCTCACATAACCAACATAATTGTGAGTCATGGGATGAAGAGGCTAAATAATGGTCTATTAGCTATAAGAAATTGTGTGAGGTTTGTGAGGAGCTTTCCACAAAGATTGGAGCTTTTTAGGCAAGCCGTGAATAGGGTGAAATTGACATGCAAAGCAACGGTTTGCCTTGATTGCCCTACTCGGTGGAATTCTACATTTGTTATGTTGGATGTAGCCTTAAAATTTAAGAAGGCCTTTGCTACAATGGCGGAGGATGAAGCAAGTCCCTTTTTGGCTTACTTTAAGGAAGTTGAAGATGAAAAAGATGAAGATAGTGTAATTATTGTTTGCCAAACCAAGGGGAGGAAAAGGGTTGGACCACCAACGGAAGAAGATTGGTCAAGGCGGAGGTTTTTGTCAAGTTTTTACGGGTGTTTTATGATGTGACTTTGAGGGTGAGTGCTTCTACACATCCCACGGTTCATACCGGCCTCCATGATGTCATAAAAGTGGAGACCGCCATCAATAACTTGGAATCCCGAGCCAACATGCAAGTGGGTTTACTGTCGGAGCAATTATTGAAGGCAATGGCATCCGATATGAGATCAAAATATGAAAAATATTTTGACTCGTACCATGAATTGAACCCTCTTATTGTGATTGGACTTGTTTTAGATCCGAGGTTCAAGTTGAGGCATGTCACACAACTCTTTAGAAAGAAACTTTCCGACATTGAGGCACAATTGAAAACTGAAGAAATAAAAAATATATTTCGTGCCCTTTATGATGAATATGTTCCTAATGTTGAAGGTGGAAAATACATGAAGAAATCGGAAAGTTTACAATCACAACCTTCTTCTACCTCATCTAATGTGGCTATGACGGAAGATGATCTAATTGATGAATGGATGCATTTTGTTGAAGATAGTGATGAGAAAGTGGTGGGAGATGAGGTGGATTCTTATTTGTTTGATCCCTTGGTACAAATTACAAAAGAGGAGTCCACAAAGTATTTTAACATTCTCTTATGGTGGAAGGTGAATGGTAACAAGTATCCTATCTTGGCCGCAATTGCAAAAGATATTCTTGCAATTCAAGTTTCGACTGTGGTATCGGAGAGTGCTTTTAGCACCGGTGGTCGAGTGATTTCGGATTTTAGGAGTTCTTTAACTCCTAAATCGGTGGAGGCCTTGATATGCATGCAAAATTGGTTGAGGGGTGATAATATTATTACTTTGGAGGATGATGCACCTTCAATTAACCACATTGAGTTCTATGAAAGTATTGAATCCGATAAGTATATCAATTGAAATAAAAGAACTTTCTTTGGTTTTTTTTTTCAACTAAACATCAATTATATTTTTATGTTTTGTATTGTGTAGAGTTGGCCAAATCGACTTCAAGCATTGCCTCTCTTACTCTTGATCAAGAACCACAACAAGCTCCAAAGCAATCTCAAGGTTCTAATTCACAAGAGTCTCCCCTTATGCGTTTACAAAGTGCAAGGTCTTCACAAGCTCAAAGGCCTCCTAAACCTTCAAAGAATAAGTGTCCAAAAGGAAAAGGAAAGGTAAAGGTTTGAAACTTGAACGATGCAAAGTAAGTTGAAAACCAAGATTTTATTGAATTCCATGAACCATTTATTTTTTTGGTTGTACTAATGCCATAAGGCATTTGACATTGAACTTTGTTTGAAACTTTGAAGTTTGAACTTTAGTTGTATTATGGCAAACTTAACTTTTCAATTGGGTTGTAGTAAACTATTGTGATTGATTGGTGATAAAGTTAAATTTTAGTAGATGTGAATTATGTGATGCGTTTTTGTGCAGTTTTTTGGTGCAGTTTTGTGCAGTTTTTTGGTGCAGTTTTGGTGCAGTTGTGGTGTAATTTTTGCTGCAGTTTAGCTGCTGTTTTTTGTGCAGTTTTGGTGCTGTTTAGCTGCAGTTTTTTGTGCAGTTTTGTGCAGTTTTTTGCTGCAGTTTCAGTGCAGTTTTTTGCTCCAGGTTTGGTACAGTTCTTGGTGTTGTTTTGCTACAGGTTTGGTGTTGTTGCTGTTTTTGGTGCAATTTTGGTGCATATTCATTAATTAATATATAAGGAAAATAAGATCATCTTATGCATAAATATGTGTATATTTTAAATTGTACATTTTTTTCTCAAAAACCAAACTGAAACCGTTTGAAACCGTACCGAACCGAACCAAACGGTTTGGTTTCATTTCGGTTTTGGCTTCAAAACCGCACCGCACCGCACCGCAAAAAGTTTCGATTTCGGTTGTGGTTTCACTCGAAACCGCACCAAACCGCACCGCGCCCACCCCTAATATAATGTTTCATCTTGTAATTGTTTTGATATGAAATACACATAAAAAATTCAACATGATACAACGAAGCCCCACATGTCTGAGACCTATCATGCGCATGTGGTTGGCTGCTTTGCTTCGTATGTTTCTTTTCGTACTAAATAATGAGTTATGAAGCTTGTTGATGGAAGGGTTTCTTCCTTTCGTTTGAATAATGCTTGATTGGGTGTGGCTATGGGCAAAGAAGATAATATTGAAGGAAAACAAGAAGATCACCGGAAATTCAGAGGCGTTTCCTCTATTTATATGGTAATCCTAATTAGAAGCAAGGCTTAACTAGTTTTTTTTTTTTTTTTCCTTTTTCTCTTTGAGGTTTCTAATCTAGTTTAATCTAATGGATGGATGAGTCATTTTCCTTTAGACACACTGACACACACGAGAACATGTTACAAAGTTCTGAAGCTTTTATGTTTATTCATGCCTCACAAAAATATTAGGTTTTGAAGTCCTAAACTTATGTTGCAGCAATTTCTCCTTGTAGGTCGTAGCTCAGCCGGGAGTAGGGACCCCAAGAAAGGGTGATGGGGCAGGCTCATTCGGGAACAATTAGGTCAGGGCCAGACAGGTCCTTATATTTTAATAATGACTTTTCATTAAAAGGGGAGTTTTTTTTAACTTTTCGTTAGTTTTCCGTATATTTTTTGGTATGAGAATCGATGAGTTTGTAATTGTTGAATTGTCGTGTTTTTAAGTATGCGTGGTCTCTTTAATTGTTTTAAAGATCATATTTGACAAGCTTTTTTATATGATTTCTTGATTATATTTTTAGGATGGTCCATATACATCTTTTTAATTTATGTTATTTGATATTTTTTAATTCATTTGATTTAACGTTTAGAAATTGATAAATGTGTGTGGCACGTAAAAAATAGTGTGTGATAGTATTATCCTATTTTTAATAAAATTCTCTTGAAGAGCGATTTGTGCTGACTTTAATAGATTTTGATTATAAATTTATATTACAACTTGAGTCTATCGGAGCATAAAAATATATATATAAGTTATAACAAAACAAGTTCGACTTCAACTTACCTTTGAAAGAGTCAAAATAACATTTAACGTATACATTTCTTTCCTCAAATCAATGTAGGCTGCATGCAGACCAATACCTAGCTATGGTGTTGAACCCTGTGAAAGTATGTGGCATTCGAATCCTTAAAAGCAATGGGGCACGACGATCTGCTTTCACTTTCGGATCATGGTTTTGGAACTTAAGCTACTATTTCACACTTTAATCCTAATCTTCCTCGAATGAACTTTTGCTTCTTCTCTATAAATTACGCATGCCTGAATTGAAACACCCCAACCCCATTTGTTAATTAAAAATTATTTTAAAGCCTTAATTGGTGAGCCCGTGGGGCCCATCCTGTTTTATTTTTATGTTTTCTGGTCTCCCTCTCTCCTCTCTCAGTTCTCTCTTCTCCCTCACCTCTCCCGCAACTCTCTCTCCCTCTCTCTCTATCTCAATCCCTCCGAGAGTTTTTCTTACCATCAAACATCACCATCGTCTTTATCTCGTCGCTACAAACTCAACCATAGTATTGGCATCTTAAAAGTCGAACCATGAAGCCCCGTACACGAGCTCCGACGAGTACCGCCCCTTTCGAGGCCATTTCCGACCAAACCACAGTTAGTTGGCCGGCTTGCAAGGTATCAATCTCTTCGTCTCCCTGAGTACTACAACTTTCCTTTTTGTTTCACTCAATTTCGTTGAGTATTGAAGAAGTTATACTCATTTGAATCTTACCCAGTTTCCGGCGATCTCAGTGGCTTTCGAGGCATTTTCCGGCCAAACCATGGCAATTTAGACGTCGTGTGAGGTATCATTCTCTTCGTCTCTTCAAGGGATACAATTTTCATTTTTGTCTTGCTTGATTTTATTGAGTAGTGACAAAGTTATAGCCGTTTAAAGTTGGGTGGTTTTCCGGTCGAATTTCCGACCTTCTTCTTCGGTGAACCCAGGCCCTTTAGGCCGCTTAGGACACCCACGGGCTTTGGGCCCGTAGTCAAAACCCAGTCCATTCTTTTAATTGTTTTAAAGGCCTTATAGTCTTGGGTTTTTATTAATTATTTGAGGGTTTGGAGCCCGGCCTGGGGTCTGAGGCCTTTGGGCTGTGCTTGTGTTGTGTGGGCTGTGCTGTGTGTGCAGCCCGTGTGTGTGTTTGAGGTGCATGTGTGTGTATTGTGTGTGGGTTTGGGCTGAAGCCCAAACCACCCCATCTTCCACCCTAAACCCTTTTAACCCAAAACCTTAGAATTCCAAAACCCAATAGATCCTAATCCTATTTAACCTAAACCTTAATCCGGATTTCAAGCCTAAAACCCGTTTGACTTAGTTTGACCGTAGACCCCCGGTCAACGTTGACTTTAGGGTTGACTTTTCGGGTTTTCATCTGGGACCCTTATTAGGGTAATTCGACGTTTTGAATCCATTTCCGATGTCTGTTTTCCCAAATTCAATTGCTATTATATAGTTTTATTTATTGGACTCTTTATGTGCTTAGGGGCAATTATTGTGACGTTTCCGTCTTCACTAGTGACGCAGCTTTTGGCAACTAAGTACTGTGAGTGGACCCCTTCTAAAATTATATGATTTGATAATTTAATTGCATAAATGATTAGCATGCCTACGGATTTATGATATTGATTTATGTGAAGGCACTTCCGAAGCAGCATCTTCGGATTCTCTCGATGTAGGACCCACTTCTTTATTCATTAAATTTTATCTCAATTCTTTTTAGTGATTAGGTTTAGTTGTATGCTCTGAACACATTTCTAAATTATTAATTCATGGTATTTTAAATTCATAACCCGTCTTTATTTCTTATTCTTAGTTTTTGTATTAATTAATGGCTTTCATTACCCTCGGGTGTCGGCCAGCACGTGTCTATCTTGGTATTTAGGGAATATCAGGATCGGGACGTGTCATGAACTGTCCAACTCCTATGACAAGAATATTGTACCATGTAACCATTTTTTTCTCAAACCAGTCGGATCGGAAAAGATTGCAAAATTTTGTGTGAAATAAAGTCAAGCCATAGTTTGTACTTGGGACTGGATTAGACTGGATTGGATTACTTGAACCATGCATTTTACTTGTTTGGGTATGAAATTTGAGGAGAGTGTAGTTCTGGTAAAAGAAAATTGGAATATGACTTTTACTGAGAAGTGGCCAAATAGGAAGCTGTTGAGTTCACAGCTGGTCGGGGAGGGTGACTGATTTAGGTCGTAGCTCAGCCGGGAGTAGGGACCCCAAGAAAGGGTGATGGGGCAGGCTCATTCGGGAACAATTAGGTCAGGGGCCAGAGAGGACACGGGTTGGGAAAAATTATGGCCAGGTACAACCCTAGTTTGTGAGCAGCCACCTCTTTCATGCAGATACTCTTCATGTTTGATTTGATGGTGGGTAAAGTGAAATGATTGGTTTTCCAACTATTCACGCCGCATTCTTTGAAATTTAGCCTGCATGCGTCACTAGTTTGAAAGACATATACATCAGCAAATCCGTTATATTCACGGCCGGATCCATAGAGGGACCAAGATGGTCCTGGGACAACCCGGATCACATTTTAATACTTTTTAAATACTTTCAACCAATTTTTTATTATTATTTTAAATTAAAAATATATATACTTTTCATTATTTTATAAAAAATAATAATATTTTAGTACGAATGGTATGAGTTATTCGGTTTAAAAGTGAAGATGCACTTGGGTAGTTACTGTTCATTAAAGGTAGATATTATTCACTTGGCGATTGAATTGCCTCTTGCTCAAGGGGCTTTTTAGAGGTGGAGGTGTGCTGTAAATTCAATAGGGTCTCTATACTTTATTTATATTTTTACAAATTTTCAATACATTACAAGTATATGGCTTTTTTTAGTGTAAACAGAAACTTATTTATAAGACATTTTATAATTTTACTTAAATCCGCCTAGCCACCTGAGCTAAAGAATTGGTTGAAATTTAATCTTGACGGTCCAATCTAGGTCAGTAACCTCTCTCTGTTCTGTCATTTTGAACTTCGCCTCCTACCCCAATACCTCTCATTTCGACGAAAGCTCTCATCTCTCTCGACACCACCTAGCCTCCTACTCAGTGGTGGATCCAGGATTGTAAGATTGGATGGTCCCACTATAAAAGTTCCAAAAAATATTAGACGAAAAATAACATTGAAAAATTAAATCATACAATACATACTTTTATTCATAATCTTTATACAAACAACATTATAAATTACAAAGACTAAATATGTCCATGATATGCTTTCATACTCGATAATATGTCATGATAGATTTATTGTCAACTGGAGCAAATATATCCAATAATGATTGAAACTATCCAAATTTGAAATTGAACGATTTGATTTGTGGAAAACTGGAGAGGAATTGGACGTGGGCAATTGTCTCTGCCCCAAAAAAGCAAGTATAATTATCTCTGCCCAGCAGTACGTACAAGGGAAATTATTTCTGCTCAGAAGTGTACGTAAGAAACATGGAGATTTGCAAACTGATTAAATTACACACAAAATATGAGTAGATATCAAAGTGCAAACACTGATAAGCCAGTTGCAACGCTGCGTTTGCAACATGCTAACACATCTCGCCTGTTTATTAGTTATATTACATTTAAGATTTGCAGACTGATTAAATTACACACAAATTTGAGTAGACATCAAAGGGCAAACACTGATAAGCCAGTTGCAACACTGCGTTTGCAACATGCTAACACATCTCGCTTGTTTATTAGTTATATTACATTTAATCACACTCAAACAGAAAACTTCACAGACACGATATTGTGATCAACAAGCCTGGAACATCTTGATTGTTCAATAACCGGCATTATCAGGTCCCTGATTAGCTCAGCAGTTCTGAAACAAGCCACTGCAGTAGTAACACCAAGATGATAATACTTAGAAAAAACTTTAAAACAATAATAATATAAGCACACATACATAAAACCACTCTTATCCTAATTTTGCGTCGGACATAATTTCACTGTAAATAAGCAATTTCTGAATTTTGCCAACTCACCAACATGTTATCACTGTGACAACGCCTGATATCACTTGCACAAAGACCTTACATAAGCTACAAAAGCACCCCCGTCCTTTTCCTGGATCTCCTGGAACTCCTCCCTGCTGCTCCCCTGTTTGAACCATCATGTGATCTCTCTCTCTTGATCAAAAAAGCACTGTGGTGGATATGTATTCAACAACTTCCTTTGCTGAAATGCAGTTGAGATTGTATCAGCTATATATAGCGGAGCCAACCGGTCCTGACCCAAGGTTTTAACGTCAGGTCCCTAAGGTTTATTGAGTTTTCACAAAACCCCCTAATGTTTGAGACATTACACTAACATCCTTGAGGTTTTTTTTTTTGTTTTTTTTGTTTTTTATTTTTGGAAAACCCTTTTGGTTTTAATTTACTTACACATAACCTCTTTTAGCCAAATTTCATCTAGAATTTAATGAAAAGTGTATTCGCCTGCCTCCAATCAAATCCTTTCTTCTCAAGGCTTTGATTTCATCTCATTTAAGTGACTAAAAAGCCCTTCCACTTTTCTGAAGTTTACATAGATGTTTAAATTAATGCTGTTTAATTTACTTGGTTTGGTGTTCCAAATTATGAACTTCTCTTTGTTCTCTTGGTTTAATTTACATGAGTACTATATATTTATGTCTAATTGCGGCCAAGTGCTGCTCTTCAATCTTGCAATTAACAGTACTATTTCCATGTTTCATTCATAAAAAGGAATGGGAGAAATAGGGGCATCAATCCATATCGACTCCATATAGATGTTTAGATGAGTGATAATCGTAATTACGTGGTGGGCAACTCATGATTAATAAGTTAAATTACTCAGTTAGACATGAAATCAAAACCACAATAAGAATTAAAGTCAGTAGTAAGCTCAAGTAAGGGCAGCTGTGAACATCAACAACAAAAAATTTACAATGCACCTATGGTTGTAGTAAATGCATTGGTGCAGTGAACGGTCGAATTTGCCTACTTTAATTAAACATTAATTCCGGTCTAGTCGTCCACTCTGGTACATCTGCAGTGTTATATGCACAAGGACTCCATCAAACAATTAGGGATGTGCTATCCACACACTCTATTTTACTTCTCACACACCTCTTGATAATTTCTGTCCATTGATCTTCTTCAATTCATTCGATCCAACGGCTGAAAATTCAAAAGGTGCGTGAGAAGTAAAATAGGGTGTGTGGATATCACATCCCAACAATTATATATTCATGATTGAAAATGGGCAAGCATTTTGTTAAACCACATTGGGCTATGTAGAATAATCCTTAGTGGGAAAATACGAATTTTCCAAGGGATGACTTTACAGTGGTCTAAAACCCTAGTTAGAAATAGTAACACACTAGAAATTTGTACTCATGCATTGCTGCGGGATTGAAAATTTTATGAAATATTTTATAGCTTCAATTTTCATAAACAATGTTTGAGTGAAAAACAGAGCATTACGAATGACAATGCAATTTATATGTAAATTTATCATGAACGAAACAAATTTATATACTAAAAGAAAGATCTATTCTTTTCAAACTGTAAAGTAGCAGATAATTGTTTATTCAAAAAGTTGGAATAATGAGAACTACATAATTGACAAATGCAGTATTGAGAGTATAAGGGCATTAAATCACAGGCACTTCACAAATCCTCTTCATATCTGCACCAAAAATAACGAAAAAGAAGTGCAATCAGCCCAAACAACAAAAATCAGTAGAAACAAACAAAGAAAATCAAGTATCGGAGAGAAAGAAATGAAAACCGAAATAAAATTCCGGAGAAAACGGTACAGGCGTGGAAAAAGGAGGAAACAAAAAGAAAGCATTCGTTGATAAACAACGCGTTGAATCTTTGGAAACAAAGGAAGCAACTGGAACAACACATGTTGACACGAAAAGGGCAGCGAAGCAAAAATGAAAATGGATGACAAACACATGGACTGAAAGGGTAAAATGATTATAAAAAATAAGAACACAAAAGGAATAAGGGCATTTCCGGCCGCAAAGTGTTGATGGAAGGATAAAATGGTACAAAAAAAAACATAACACAAAGGAACAGAAGGGCTTTTCCGTCAGTGCACTGTTAGTGAACAGTGTTTTTTCCCTTGGGTTTTAGTACATGTATAATGTAACGTGCATGGAAGAACTTTGCCATACTGTTCGAAATGACATAAAGAAATTTGTCCTCATGCATTTGGAAGAGCACCTCCATGCATGGTTCCATCTCTATGGCCCAGTTTATCCCTACACGTGGCAGATGATTATGATACCTCAATAACTTTCGCATTACATAAGTTCCCTACACAAGGGCAGCCACTTAGGAGTCAGGAACAGCGGCTGCAACAAATACCACTTTCTGTAGAAACAGCAGTTTCAGCTCGGATTCAAATTTCTACACAAAGCCATGGATATATTTAGATACAGAAAATATATACGAACAAAACTAATAACATATTATACCATCGACTGCAAGCTGCAGTATAGTTTCCATTACTATCTTCAAATCTTTGTCTAAATTAATAGTACACAAGGCCGGTCCAAAGATTTTTAAGATCTGAGACGATGCTAAAAAATATGTCCTCATTTCATATAAAAAATTATTTATTTTTACACATAAGACATAAAATTATAATTAGAAAACACTTCAAATTCAGTAATTTATAAACATAAAAAACTAATTTATTTTATATCGAGAGAAGGAAACAAAAAAATTTCAGGCTTACAAGTAGATAAATTATGAGTTTGGTATTCCATCTAAACTTTTAAAGTGTTTTTGTATAAATCGTGAGGTGTTTTTTCCTTATTTACTAACCTTGTCAATATAAGATTAAAAAAATAATGATATTTTCAAGGCTTTAAGAATATGTATAAGTAATGAATGGGCATCAAATTAAACATTTTGATGACACGTCATATGATTTGCAAATTTGGTCTAAAAATTTAGTCTACGCATTACCCTTTGTTGAAAATTAGACTTGAATTGGAACGAGTGTTTAAAAATAGCAACCCACATAGTTACTAGCTAGTAATTAAAAATAAATTAACAACCAAACAGAAATTAGTAAAAATTGAAAAAAATAAACATGCACATAGCATTTCGAACTTAGGACCTCTCATTAATTTTAAATACAAAAACCATTGCTTCTAATTAAACTTCTAATCATTTAGCCAAATTTTATAAATTTATCCTGTTATGAAAAGAAATTTGTAAAAATTACCCGTTCTAGTTAAATTTCTTTGTTATTAAACCAAATTTTATAAATTTATACTCTTATGAAAACGTATATAAATATGTCACAATAATAATTTTGGTGCCCCTAATTTTTTTGGGTCGTGGACGGTCGCCTTGCCAGCACTGGACCTGGGCCGGTTTGCAGTGTTGACTGCTTCTGTTCTTTTCTAAGAATTATTTTGTGTTAATTTGAAAGTAACACAAGCGAAGGCACTTGTATTGGAAGTGGAATTGTTGCTGAGATTCTTTGTTGTGATTGAGGCCATTTAGATATCGCTTGGGATACAGCGTAGCATCATATGTGATTGAGGTCATTTGCTATCAGCTTGCTCTATATATGGATGTCATAAGGTTTCTCAAAGTTCCTTGGGCAAATGGTTTATAATATATATCTTGCTTGCGTGTGCATTTTTCTCACATTTTCAGGGGTTACTAAATGTTCTCATATAATTACATACTATGTGCAGGGATTGTTGAATCCTCCGTTATTCATACTAAAAGATAAGTAATAGTTTAAATATCCTAACTTCACTCTAACTAATACTGAGACATTTTGTGATAAAACTCCACACCTGACGGATTGTGTAGGTGGTAATTACCAAGTTGGGGACAATATCGGTGTTGTTGGAAGTGGGCCGTATGACCCGTCTCTCTGATAATTCTACATGGTATCAGAGTCAGGGGGTGGGCCCGTACTGTACAGTCACATGATGGGTAGGCCCCCTTGGCCCTATGCGATGATGGTGGGTCCCTTGGCCCCACATGTAGGGTGAGTCCCCTTGACTCCATGAGGTTGCTGCCGATGTATGGATCTTTCACGTGTGACCCACTAATTGGGTTACACGTGAGGGGGTGTGTTGAATCCCACATCTTCCAAACTAAAATATAAGTAATAGTTTAAATATCCTAACTCGACTCTAACTAACCTGAGACATTTTGTGATAAAACCCCACACCTGACGAATTGTGCAGGTGGTAATTGCGGCATCAATCCATATCGACTCCATATGGACATTGAGATGAGTAATAATCGTAATTACGTGGTGGGCAACTCATGATTGATAAGTTAAATTACTCAGTTAGACATGAAATCAGAATTAAAGTCAGTAGTAAGCTCAAGTAAAGGCAGCTGTGAACATCAACAACAAAAATTTTACAATGCACCTATGGTTGTAGTAAATGCATTGGTGCAGTGAACGGCCGAATTTGCATACTTTAATTAAACATTAATTCCAGTCTAGTCGTCCACTCTGGTACATCTGCAGTGTTATATGCACAAGGACTCCATCAAACAATTATATATTCATGATTGAAAGCGGGCAAGCATTTTGTTATACCACATTGGGCTATGTAGAACAATCCTTGGTGGGAAAATACGAATTTTCCAAGGTATGACTTTACAGTGGTCTAAAACCCTAGTGAGAAATACTAACACACTAGAAATTTCACTACAAAACAAAGTGTCATTAACAAGGGTCAAATACTGTTAGAAAAGGCATTTTGCCGTCGCAAATACTTGTTTCCGACGGGAAAAAGCCCTCGCTGAGCGTCGAAAATTGTCCCATTGGAAATACTTTTGTTCCGACCAGTCGTCGGAATGAATGCATTTTCGACACACATGACTCGTTGTTAATAGTTATATTTATGTTGGAAATGAATGTTCAAAATGGCAAACTTATTTTATTTTCGACATGGAATTTTGGTCGCAAATACTTATAGAGTTGTCGAAATTACTTTTCAAGTGACAACAAATGTTTTTTGCGATCACTTTTTTCCGACCAAACAATTGTCTCAGAAAATCTTTTTCCAACAAAATCATCTTTTTTTACGGGAGTGGACAATCATCGCAATTACAATTACCGACCATACAAGGTTTTCGAAAATATATAACGGCTTGACAGAAATAGGCACAAAAACATATTTACTATGATCAAGCGTCGTCGAAAATATGTACTTCCAACAGTGAAG